CGAAGAAACTCTAAAGATAACCGAACTAGAGCAAGATAGCTTAGAAACTATTAATCGTCTTCCACCCAATTCACAGACATAAACAGGATATTTTCTTCTACCCAATTCAGTTAACTATTATTATTCACAATTTCACGAAAATTTAATCAAAAATGATTAAAAGTGCAACAGAGCTAAGAAAATCACCTTGATAGACACCTTGGTCTTCACTTGGCTCTCCAGAGCTTCAGTCATGGACTATACAAGCATACATATATCAAAAAGGGAAAGAAACAAAAAAAAAACCACAGAAACGAATCAAGACGTCAAATAATAGTTCAATTGAAACCTTGTCAAACTGAACAAGGACTTGGATAGCTAGCTCAGGGCTCAGCGTACCGCTCTGAACCATCTCGTCCAAAGTCTCCGTCAGACACATCCCGATCGTCGATCTCCTGTACAGCTCAAACGTCGCCATTCTCTACTTCCCAACGATCTGCCGATTCAAATTCGAGTAACAAATCGTCGAATCAAATTCGCAACTAATAACAAATCGGGAATCTGAAAGTTTTGACGCCAAAAAAAAGGAGCTAGATGAATCTAAGACCTCAATATGAGATGAATACGGGATGAAAAACCGGTTTACCGATCGCCGGCGACGTTAGAAGAGAAATGGACGGTGGATGCGGGAGCTTCCGTTGGTCGATTGCGAAGGATTTGTCTCTTGGGCGGAGAAAAAATTAGGGGCTTTTATACCCTAGATTTTGCAGGTAACTGTATATATAGGCAGCGATAGATCGGGGCGGTGGAAGATTACGATTTTACCCTTTCGTTTGTAATAAAGTTATATCTGAGATTTGGAAGAAGGCCCAATACAAAGGCCCATTTAATGTTTTTTATTTATTTGTAAAGTAACCTCCAATACAAATTGCGTATATAATAATGTGACAAAGTCCTAGTGAGAGTTTGAATCTAAAGGAGGTCCTTCAAGGCGGATATAGTCGTACATGAGACCATTGAAGGCTCCAGTGGTGGTCATAGTTTGTGTCAAGAACAAAGTGTTGTCTCCTTCCACAAGCTTCTCACTTGGTACATCCACATTATAAAGCCTATAGATTCCATGTATTCCATGTCTTGCAATCGCGTTATCGTGCCCGATTACACCCGTTGTGAACAGAGGAGTACTCTTTTCAGTGTCATCATCATTCATCCTCACTTGTAATTCTGCTGCATTTGCAGTTGCTAGCGCGATCCGGATTTTGTATGTGCTGTTTTTCTGCACATTCTCTAGCTTAAACTTGATTTGCCATGTGGTTTTTTGATATGTGTCATCTCCCATTTTCCTATAATCAAAAGACATGTGAGGTTTCTTTGTTTTACTCTTTTTAGAATATGTGAAATATATGTTACCTGGTAACGTGTGCAAAGAACCAATCTTTGGTGTAATCGCTGACGCCAATGGTGAACACCAAATCTTCTTTAGGATATAATTCTGTGTATCTTTCCCATAGACCGTATTGCCTAAACCTGCTTAAGGACAATCATACTTAGACCTCTACTGCTTTTAACAATCTGAAACCTTAATGTTGTGATATCTTTAATCATGGATTACCTATCAGGATGACCAATATATAGTTTGTTGATGTATTTGGGATTTGGGTCTGGAACAAAGAACTCAGCTGCAGACCGATCAGGTATCCCTATTTCCCACACCGTTGGCCCATGTCGGGGCGGTTCATACACGATATTTCCAACGTCAATGTCGCAGCCTGGTTTTTGGGTGCAGAGTGTAGCAAATGTTAAGTTAACTTGCACTTCTTGACACAGAGCAGTATATAATCTTGATGATTACAATGTAAGTTAAAGGAAATTTAACCTGCAGTAATGTTAATCAATTGTTCATATTGATAGTCTCCAATCCATCCTGTCACATAAGCATTTAGATTATATTCGCCTTCTCGGATATCATTTATCGCGAAATAACCATCTGCATCTGCTTCTGTCCAGAACTGATATCCCTATGTATATAAGTCAAATTCATGCAAGCATAAGTTCATTGCTTACATATATATTATTATATGGTCTAAGAATATAATTTTCAGGGCTGACCTTAGATTCTAATTGCCATGATCCAACCTCTCCTGGTGGAGCCAAACCTACGAAAGCACCATTTGCCGGTAAAAGTTCATCACTAAGGAATCTGAAGGAATTAAAAAAACAAAGGAAACAACAGTGAGTGGTTGATAATAAAAAGAAGAAAGGCAGAGCAAATGGTGGAATGTGAGGCTTACTTGTCGCATACTAGCAATCTACCGCTGATGCAACCGCGCTTATCCGACACTGCAAAGTCTTCTGAAGCAGGGAAATCGTAAGGCCAGCTTTGGACTTCAGTTAACATCTAATTAAACACCACTTCCTACAAATGTTAGATAAGTTTTTATAATATGCACCAAAGGTAGAAGGTTGGTTAATGGATAAACCTGGGTTTTCGCGTCTTCCCATAGCAAAAGAGGATCAGAGGTCTTGTCAGGCAAGCAATTGAGGTAAGTAAAAACAGGACCAAAAACTTTCTTCCATGACTCCCCTGCTTTCACCTTCATCACCATGTCCTCACCCGCGTAGTGAGCGCTTATAAACATCTGTGTTTACACAATCACTAAGTAAGAACCCATTTTCATAAATAATATAACATGTTTCAAGGAGGAAGAGAGAAAAGAAACATACGGCGAGACTGATGGGACCAACATGAGAGGTTAGGTTCTGTTTCGACAAGCCACCTGATCTGAACTCATTGCTAGGAATGATTTGCCAGCAACCCAAACCCAAGTTCTGTGAGATCCATCCATGCACTTTGAGATCTTTGTTCTCGCATGAATACTCATACTTGTCATCAACCTCTCCTTTAAACTCTTCTTCAACAGGATGAACAAGAAGAACAGCTTCAGGATAAGCCAAGGGTCTTCCTCTTTTACCCAATCTATCTTCTGGAAGTGGCATTTTCCTCTGTCTGTTATCAGCAATCGCCATATATTGAAACCTGCAATTTTTCTTTCCACATAAGTATACTAATATCAGTTTTAAGGGAAATATTGATTCTGAACTTTATTTACTTGTCTTTACGAAGCTTGTACACAATCCTTGTCTGAGGCAAGTTAAAAGCAGGCCATTCCGCTAGATGCTCGAATATCGCATATGAGTAGAATCCAGTTGCATTTTTACGCATTATGAACCTGAATTATACAGTATCCAAATCAAACTCTCTGCCACTACTCTCACACATAATTACATAAATGCATGTTACATTAAAAAGAGATACCTCTTGTCAACATTAATGGGAGCAATACTGTCTTGGAGAGAAGAATCCCATTTCCTGGAGAAGGAAATCTCTACCAGTTCTTCATTTTCCACTACTACTTCAAAACTTGTACCTTTGATCCTGCCTCAACCAAATTTATAAACATTATATAATGACTTCATATCTTATATGCTCGATGGAACGATGAATACTTGCCTCTCCGATTTCCCTGTGGTTCCAGGCGCCCCTTCATCGCTCCAAACAAGGTCCCAATACCTGAGTTTTGGTCACAACATTTCATATGTTGTAATAGTAATGAATAGACTGATCCATGTATATAATGTTCTTAAAAACATTCAACATTACGTACCCTCGATTGAAATCTTCATTGTGAGTTTCTAGTAGATTGTCGACGCCCTGGTAAGAGATTCCGGTGACAAAACCATCTGGTTTTGATATGGTCACTTTCACTATACCATTGCTCATCACTACCTGCATTTGCCATATTCATATATTGACAAAAACAGATAAATGAAGCTATGTGCATATAAGAGACAGGAATATTACATGGCTTTCTTGGACATCCAACTGAACAGAATCTTGGTTCGACATCACTTTCTCTCGCTATCTTTCTTTCGTGTGTGTGTTTTCAGAGATATGAGGTTGAAGCTTTTGTAGAGAAACAATCTGTAGATAAGTTTGATTCATCTTCAATTTGTAGAGATCTTTTGATTCTTCTTCAAGATTGGACAAGTGGTATCTTTAAGCTTTGAGCTTCTTTTTAATTTACTTTTTGGGTAAGTCCAACATATTATTCCACTTGTTGTTGGATTCTCACGCAAGCAGTTACATTTGTGTACCCGTAAATATATTCCCGGCAACGTTTATTGAAAAAAAACAGGACATATAACAGTGGTCACAAACCGAATTTAAACCCCTATATTACATGTTGTTGACAAAAGTAAAAATAAAATAAATGTCATTTAAAATTGCGTTCATGTGAATCCAATTTTTGATGCTACATGTCATTGAAAACCATGGTCACACACTCACATTGTATAAAAAAGAATATCATCATTTACGCTAACTCGCATCTCACTTGTTTAATATATAATCCATGTATCATGTATGTATACAAAAAAACGTAATTGTATCCATATTTATGAAAGTACTTAAAAAGAGAGTATACATTGGCTAAAGTAGATAGATAGATACATTGACTTCATTTGTAGACAGAATCTAGTGAATTATGTTAGTAATGGAATGTATTAATTTACAAGCAACTCCTAAAGCTTGGCGTTACGTCATTCATTCCTTATGTTGTTTTCTGATGCAGCATGAAATGGATGAGTGGGAGAGAGAATGAGTGACAACAAGTCAAAAGGTACACCTTTCGTCCACTTTGCTCTTTCTACCATAAACACACACTTGGCTCTCTTTTACAACCTGTTTCGGTCTTCTTTTAGTTCTTGCAAAGACAAAACCTATTCATTCACCTTGCAACAAAATCACTGCTGCATTCACCATTTACATTAGTTTGAATAATGGGATGATATACTCAAACCCCAAAAAAAGCTCACACAAGTACATTTGGAAGCATCACCTAAGTTGCATTGGCAGATCAATTGGTCCTGAAATCTAGCAATACAACAAGCTGAAAAAACTTCTAACCTTTTTAGGAATTACCATTACGTTGGGTTCTTCACAAAATCACCATTTTTCTTTACCTCCATGAGAGTCACCTCGCACATCTAGACCATCGATGAGAAGGGAATATAACCAAACACCTCCCCACTCCCCATTTTTATTTATTAGGAAAGCTAGTGTAAAGTAAAAATTCTTAGCTACCATGACCAAGGTGTAAATGATTTCGAGAATCGGCTTGGACTAGTAAGAATACAAATGAAAAAGTTATGTATGCAATATCTGGAAAAGTCATGAATGAACTTAATCGACTTACTTCTATACCCTAACTTCTGAAGGATCAGCTTTTCATGGGGTAACTAAAACAGTAAAACCAAGACGCGAGCACAGCTCTAATAGGTGTCAGCTACAGGTAGACCTTGCTTATTGGATGGGGGTTTGGGGAACAGATCACTAATTTTAAAAAGTTTTTGGCAGCTTGGGAACCCTACGCAGCAAGAGAATATATATCTAGAGGTACACAAGAAACTAACCCTGCTGCACCATGAGAACACAAAATTACGCTATGCTAGCATCTAACATATAGGATAGTTTTCAAAAGGCTAGTGTGGTATGTTGAACTAGCTATTTTCCTTAATTGAGCATAATACTTCTTATAAATTTAGAGATTGGTGGGTATTGGTGCAAACAAAAACTCCCTTCTCACAAATGGTCTAGACATGAGAGATAACTCAAGTACACCTGTCAGTCTTCAAACGGTGATCCTCAGCTGGACTGTCAGAACCTTATCTCTGTCAACTGTAGCAGTTTTCCACTGCATTAACAAAGGCAGATGAATTTTCAGATTCATATTCATATTTAAAACAACGAACAGCATACAATTACAAAGATATGCAGATATAAACCTGAAATTTATGCATTGCTAGTTTATGCAACAGCAAAGTACTCTATTTGATTTTAATGATTTGAGACAAAATTGACTTGCACTCAATCAATAAAAAAATTCCTAATTTCCCCATAGTAAAACAAGTTTTCTTTACTTTCTCTTCTTTGAAGATATTGTGCAAATGCATTTGTGTACATTTAGAGACTGTGAATACAAATGAAACTATCCTATAACTGCTCTTTAAAAGGGGCCTATTCTCCTATCACATAGTTTTTTGATAAGTCTTATTTGACAAAGAATCAAAGTTGAATGACAAGGAACTGAAGATGACGCTTAAATTCTCAGAAGTTTCTAAATAGATCATCTCCATATCAAGAGCCAATAGTGAATGTTTAACATAAAAGGCCATGTTAAACAAAATACTCAGACAAACTTCAAAACTCTTTAGTGTTAATTTGCCGAAGAAAAAGAAAGAACAAACATGATTTGCTATATTCCATATAATTTGGGTATAGACTTTTTAGGAGTTCCTTTTACCTTAGAGTAGGTTCCAGTAACAATTTAGTGATGCTTTCAAACTCTTTTTAGGTATAACTAAAGAAGGTGCAAGAAAATGGTATCAAAAACCACCGTAGATTTGTTTTCTGTGTTTCTTTAGTCTATTATTTGCTTTTATCTTATGCTCATAACAATCAACAAATGTCAATGACAATCCCTCTAGAATGAAAAAGATCATAAGATAATGTATATGTATACAATATGCATTATTATGTGATTTTCATCTTAAGAAAAAAGAAAGAGACGAATATTATTTATACCCAAAAACAACAAAAAAGAAGTATGATTCCAAAACATTAATTAGCAAAAGCATCAAACACAAATAATGGAGATGAGAAACCAAACCTGAAAACATGAGAGACAGATCCACTTAAAGATTGAGAAAGCTCTCACCAGTCACCAATCTGCACATGCAAAACCAAATTTTGATACATTACTACATAAAAACATTCCATACATACATTAGTAAAATTGGATCCTCAGCTCAGAAATTCTACAATCTAAAAAAGCTCATGCAGCTGATCTATTATCAATGACAATTGACAAAGCCATTTCAGCGAAATTAAGTCCCACTTGTCAAACCACAAGAGAAATCTAAAGGATATCACATAAACATATATCAACAAAAAAAATGTAATATCTGTAAAATCAAATCAAATTACAGGTTAAGAGAAGAGATACACGGAATCAGACTAACCGCGGAACTAATAGAGACGCGTCAGCTCAAGAATTTCGAAAATGGCGGTTCCTCGTCACGAGATCCCACTGAAATTCGACAGAAAACAGTCGGAAAAAGCCGCCGATTCAGGAGAAGAGGTGAGCTAGGGCAAGGGAGAGAGCGAGAGTGAAAGCGAAATGGAGGAGAGAGCAAGTGAGGAGGATTAAGTGAGGGATGCGAGAGGGTTTTATATAAGTAATGTAAGCGAAGAATGAGACTAATTTAAAACTTAAGTATCGATTAGTGCGTTAATCAGATTTCATTAGATTATATAATTTTGAATTGGGGACATGTGCGGGCTTCCATTTCTCGCATAAAGCCGCTGCTCAAGCCGCTCAAATAAAATAGTTTTAAACAAAATTAACTCTTCCTACCAAAAAATAATAAATTAACTCGTGTTCTTTCTGTTTTTTTTTTTGCCGGTAATTAACTTTTGTTCTCTATGAACTGAATTGAGTTTGTTATTTTTGTTGAATATTACGTGTTAATTGTCATAAAGTAATACTCCCTCCGTTTCAGTTTAGTTGTCGTTTTAGGATTTAAATTTTGTTTCATAATAGTTGTCGTTTTAGGTTTTCAATGCAAATATTTGGTGAAAATTCCGGTTTTATCCCTACTGTTTTAATGTTTTGGCCAATAAATTTTTTTCTAAAATATAATAATAACAGAAAATTTAATGATTTTCTTAATTTGTGTGAAAAAACCTTAAACGACAACTAAAACGAAACGGAGAGAGTATTATACATGTGATTCTACCACTAAAAAGTAAAAACAAATCAAACTGGATTATTTTGATACAACTAATCAGAAAACTAATTACATGTATTAAGTATTGACACTTTGCAAATTTAACTTTTGAGAAATCCACTATGGAAGACCGAAGACCAAAGAAGAAGAAGAAGAAAAGTGTTAGGGTATGTCGGTCAAGCTGAACAAAGGGCAAGCCGTTAGCTGAACAGTGGATTCTAGTAGTATAATTTTCTATTTTTTTATGTGAACCTAAATCTTAGAGAAAGAAAAATATTTTAAAAGAAAAAAAAAATAGAAAAGAAAAGAGAAGAAGAGAAGAGTCGCGAAGGATGAAGAAAAAGAGGAATAGACACATGTCCAGCTTCCCAAATGGACCAATAAAAGTTGAGCTTTTAATTACTTGTCTCCTTGAATGAATACAAATGTGTCACGTTTCTTTTCTAGCTCTTTCTGGATCTGTCAGCCTCTTCATTTTATATATACTCGTACATTTTTCATAGTTTATTGATACCTATATATTTATTCCATAATCTTTATACAGATTTCGCTGGTTATTCTTTGAAGGACCACACGGATCATAGCTCTCATTGGTCACATTTTGGCTCGTCCAGTTTTTGTTTTCTTTCTTTTGATTTAAAAAAGACTTTTCTTCGAGATTTTTAAGAATTATTTAAACTTTAAGAGGTTCTAGAACGATAGATTTAATAATATAGTTGTTTTATATTAAAATAGTGTAGTTGAGTTGAACTAATTGACGTAAAAATGTTTAGCGGAAATGTTAACAATGATCAGTACGTAGTAAAACTAAACACATTGCACATACGTTAATGATCTGACGTGAATCTGAAAACTCAATTCAAGAGGTTATGTTAAATATATATGTCTCATATAAGGTTAATAATCCAAAATTCTCAGTTTTATATAAATAGTTGGAGATGTACATTTTTGCAATGTATGTCCTTACACTTGCATAAAGTGTAATTTTAGTAATCTTGGTCGTGTTTAAAATTCATATATGAAATTGTTTTTAGTTTTTTACTCATTATATGATCGAAAACGTTGATGTGCACAAAATAAAGGTTAAAGGCTGATATGTGGTTAGAAGAAACAGAAGTGACTAGTGTTTCTAAATGACAATGTATAGTTTGATCATCATCTAGTTTGATGTATTTTAGATCATGTAAGGAATCTCTTCGTTCGTGTGTCTCTTCGTGAACATAAGCTAAGACCATTCGGCCAAATTAAATGAATAACAAGAAATTCATTCCAATACATAACTCGACTTTACAAATTTGTTTCCAGTTTGCATGCTTCTAATGATATATAGTTCTATTAAACCAAATCCATTGCATGTGGGCACTACTAGGCCACACAATAAGCAAGCAACTTGCCATATTAATTTGTAAAGAAACTTAGTAATTGATGAAGGGCCTGATTGGCAAGTGCTTTAGAGTCTTTACAAAGCAAAAAAAATTCTAAAGATTTGAAATTCATCCAATCAAGCTTTAGAAGCTTTGGCTTTCCTTTTTTTTCTCACAGCCAAAATATTTCCTTAATTCATTTTTTTGGCTGTAGAAAGCCTTTTTCCTAAAGCACATAATTTTCAACTTTCCAAAATTTTAAATTCTACAGCCAAAATACTACGGCAATAAAATCTACAGCCACAACAAATAAACCTACAGTCATATTTCTACAGCAAAAAAAGTAAAGCTACAGCTGTTACCAATCAGGCCCGAAATATACTATTGTTAAATAATTAATAATTTTCAAAAGCAATATGGAAACTTTAGTTAAAAGAACAGAATCATAGAAAGATGTGTTGTAACTTGCACTAGTTTAAGTAATGAAAATTTTCAAACTTCTACTGATATCGAATTTCTTCGTCGTCACTAAAAAAAAAGTATAATTATATTTAGGCCTTGTTCTAAAAATCGGCCGCCTAGCCGCCTAGGCGGCCGCCTAGGCGCTGATCGGAGGAGCACCGCGGCGATTTTGTCCAAATCGGTGAGAAAAATCGGAGATCCGATTTTTTGTCCGCCTGGACCGCCTAGGCGGCCGCCTAGCCCGCCTAGACGGCGCCTAGCCCAATTTTTTTTTTTTTTTTTTTTTTCATCTAAAATTCAAAACGTCCTACTTATGTTCGTAATTTGTATAAAAATCATAAATTTGAAATTAAAATCTTGTTTTCATGTGTTTAATACAATTTTAAAAACAATATTATATAAATTTCTTAATTATAATGGATTAATATGTTTTTAAAATATTAAATAGCCCTAAAACTAATCTCCGATTAATCCCCGTGTAATCCCCGATTTTCTTCCTAGGCGCTAGGCGCACCCTCACCGCCCGACTAGCGCCTAGCGATTTTTTGAACACGGTATTTAGGTATATAATACTAAGCATGAAGTACCAAGTTGCAGCTACTTGGTTATATGTTTATGGTATTATATATGGACCAACTTGTACTCGTCTTTTTGCCATAAACAACTTTAGATTTGTGAAGTTGGAAGCGCCACGACCACTGTAGGTTTTCAAGCCGTAAAATAATACATTAAAAAAATGATGATAACGATGATGGATAATGATCACGATGATGGTATTATGATATGGTCATATTATAGTTTTAATTTTGGAAATCTCATGTAAACTATACAAATTCTCGTGTGTTATACCATTTAAAAAACATGAACAAAAACAATCTGTGAATTACTTTATAGAAGACAATATTAGATACGTGAGATATCTGTTAAATGGGATTTTCTATTTATGTTTTAATACATTGCAGTAAACTTAATAAGATGGACATATATATTTCCTGGCTAAG